ATTATTCTCTATTCTGTAAACACCCATCCAGACCCTTATGATTGCCAATGAGACAACTCATCACCAAATGACTTAGAAGTAAGTGCTCACCTATAGGTCACCAAGGTTTATTTCAAACTATTTTGAAAGACCACTGGAAAGACCAAAGCTAGAAAACTAATTTAACGCCTTCATATGGTATAGTTCTATATATCGAGACCAACTTTAAGTAAAAAGGCGCTTGCAAAGGGTTTTTAGATAATGTAATTTTAAACGCCTGATAATTCAAAATTAGGTTATTACAATTTAAAATACTTAATGATTAAAATAAATTGTTTCGGAACTTTTATTTGTCACATTTTATATTAATTATTTAAAACTAATCTTATCTTTTTATCCCAATGCGAATACCAAAGAAAAAAGTAAATGTGTATAGGAACCATTAATCCTAAAAGGAGCCCCAATAAAAAACCGCTCTGTAATTAATTTCCAGTAGACGATTGATGGAAAGCACAGTTTGAAGGGAAAAAAAATCTAAATTGTAACCACTTTAAACATTCGTTTCAAATCAGTTATTTTAAACAGTTTAATTCAAATGAATATTGAATAAACTACAGTTATACAATTTTATGAATTTATTAAAAGATCAAAATTCGATATCAAACAATTATTAAAGTTTTGCGCTTTGATATGATTATTGACTATTACTCTTAAGTTCTAACAATTGCACAAAATGTTTCAAAAGAGATACGGTAATAAAGGTTTTGTAAAGGCGTCATTTTAGGCCGTGTCTGGTTTTTTTTTTTTAATTTTGTTTTACGCCAAGGTCAAATGTTTAAAACTGAACAGCCAGCAAGGAAAAAGATACCCGTCCTAAATTAAATATGTATCAAATGATCAAAAATTTAATCAATTCTGTACACCAGTACATTTGTTTTTATTTTGAATTTTTAATGGATTTCCGATCCGATCAGTTTCAGATCAGTATATATATATGTAGTATTCGTGATGCGCGCACGTCCGTGTGTCTATAAGATAATGAATTGGAACCAATTCATAAACTATACTTACCGAACAGATATCAGCCAACTTGTAATCTATGGGATGTAGTGTGTAATTTGTGCGTGTAGGGTTTCTAGGATGAAACACTAGTAGGAGTCATTTTGCAAGATTTCGTGTAAAATATATGAAATTCGCCGATCATTTCATCCAGTTTTCCAATACTCTAGGGAGAAGATAATAATATATCATCTCCCAGGATATATAGAATAATTAAATAGAATTGACCAGTACTTTTAAATAATTCGTTACCTGCCGAAATCGTGATAACTACAATTAAAAAAGTATGATATCAAACCAATTTATGAGGGTTTGGATGGGGCTTACAGAATAGAGCATAATAGACAAAAAGTGTAGAATAAAGATATAAAAACATAAAGAATAGACTCGGAAAAACAGACTGAAAAAATAAAGAATAGAGGATAATAGGATAAGAAAATATTAAGAATAAGGAAATAATTGGTAGAAAATATAAAGAATAAGAGAAAAAATAAATAAAAAATGGAAGAATACAGAAATGAAGGACCCCATCCTGATCCTCATTTATTGGCTGGAATTGAAATCTTTTTCTACTTTTATATGCATCAGATTTATGGATTTATCATCATGTATAAATTTTAAAAATAAAAAGTTAAATTAACATGCTGTTCAATTTTCAAACCGAATCATGTGTGAATATTTCATGTGGTTAAACGAGTGATTTATGACATATAATTTTATGGATAAGAAAATCATTGAAATTTTAATTTGTACAAGTATATCTATATAAATATATAAAAAATAGACAGTATATTAACTGGGGAAAATCGCCATCATATTTATACATAAAAGGGGATATGACGTAAAAACCCAGAACATATGCACTCGGAAAATGGGCTAGGAGAGGTCCCTATACGCCAAGGATCAAAACAAAGCTCTTTATTGTCTGAAAATAAAAGGACATATGGGGGACAAGGATCAAAACAAAGCTCTTAATCGTCTGTAAATAAAAGAACATATGGGGGGACAAGGATCAAAACAAAACTCTTAATCGTCTGTAAATAAAAGGACATATGGGGGACAAAGATCAAAACAAAGCTCTTGATCGTCTGTAAATAAAGGAAATTTGGGGGACAAGGATCAAAACAAAGCTCTTTATCGTCTGTAAATAAAAGGACATATGGGGGACAAGGATCAAAACAAAGCTCTTGGTCGTCTGTAAATAAAAGGACATATGGGGGACAAAGATCAAAACAAAGCTCTTGGTCGTCTGTAAATAAATGGACATATGGGGGACAAAGATCAAAACAAAGCTCTTGGTCGTCTGTAAATAAAAGGACATATGGGGGACAAGGATCAAAACAAAGCTCTTGATCGTCTGTAAATAAAAGGACATATGGGGGACAAGGATCAAAACAAAGCTCTTGATCGTCTGTAAATAAAAGGACATATGGGGGACAAGGATCAAAACAAAGCGCTTGATCGTCTGTAAATAAAAGGACATATGGGGGACAAGGATCAAAACAAAGCTCTTGATCGTCTGTAAATAAAAGGACATATGGGGGACAAGGATCAAAACAAAGCTCTTGATCGTCTGTAAATAAAAGGACATATGGGGGACAAGGATCAAAACAAAGCTCTTGATCGTCTGTAAATAAAAGGACATATGGGGGACAAGGATCAAAACAAAGCTCTTTATCGTCTGTAAATAAAAGGACATATGGGTGACAAGTCAATGAGACAGCAACCAAACGACACACATAACCAAATCCCAGCTAAACGCCAACATATAGTCTTCAATGTTAGAAAAATGTATACAATTTGTCAAGCTATGCATTGCCTCGAGTCCAAAAAGTTGTCAACAAATTTAACAGAGGCTATCAAAGGACACAAACTTCATTGCCCCGAGTAAAATAAAATGTCAACAAATTTAACAGAGATTATCAAAGGACACAAACTACATTGCCCCGAGTAAAATAAAATGTCAACAAATTTAACAGAGATTATCAAAGGACACAAACTTCATTGCCCTGAGTAAAATAAAATGTCAACAAATTTAACAGAGATTATCAAAGGACACAAACTTCATTGCCCCGAGTAAAAAAAGTTATCAACAAATTTAACAGAGACTATCAAGTATCTACTTTTAAATCAAATTTTCCAAATAACAAAAACATAACATTATGATCTTGCTGTAAAGTGTGAACTTGTTTTCCAGTTACAGCCTCACTGTGTAACTGTTTTCCAGTTATGGCCTCACTGTGTAACTGTTTTCCAGTTACAGCCTCACTGTGTAACTGTTTTCCAGTTACTGCCTCACTGTGTAACTGTTTTCCAGTTATTGCCTCACTGTGTAACTGTTTTCCAGTTACTGCCTCACTGTGTAACTGTTTTCCAGTTACTGCCTCACTGTGCAACTGTTTTCCAGTTACTGCCTCACTGTGTATCTGTTTTCCAGTTACTGCCTCACTGTGTTATGACAATGAAGAACAGCAATACAAGTTCTTCGAGGGACATAAAAGGACATACAAATAAATTCACAGGAAATAACAAAAGTACTTAACCTGCTGATACAAAATTATGCCACCCTACTCTCTAATATCAGTGGCTATACTTCAGAGTAGATTTCATATTGGTTTTTTGAAAATCCTGAAATCATCACTGAAGATTTCATCGACTTCAACAAAAACCATTATGGTAGTATTTGTAAAATTTTATATTTGTTTTTCAAAATCTGTCAAGTAAAAAACAATTACTCTCAAAACGGTGCTAGTAGGAGCCACCTTGAACTGGAATTGAGGTAAACGGTTGTTTTTAGTGACTTTAAAGTGCTGTTTCTTTGATTTTGGATTTTTGTCAAGTGATTGCAAGATTTTGTGTCTTGAATTGATTTGCTGTATTCCTATTACTGTATCTAGGTCAACATCGTTCAATCTTTCTTAATTGGATATGATTGATTGATTTTTGGTGTTTAATGCCAGTTTCAGAGCATACTTTGCTATCTCATAATTGCCAGTGTTTATTGGTGTAGGAAGCCGTAGTAACTGGAGAGTACCATAGACAATTATCAGGAAAACTGGTAATCTCAGTCAATTAAGATCCGAGCCCGAACACACCTTGTCATGATCAGAGTTTAAAATCACACTCAGTGTTGAAAGGCTAGTGATCGGTTTAGATGAACTTTTTAAGTGGGGTTCGTGATGCTCAGTCTTTAGTTTTCTATGTTGTGTTCTTCATACTTTGTTTGACTTTGGTCAATTATTTTTTTGCCATGGAGTTGTCAGTTCAATTTATGAGTTTGAATATCCCTTTGTTATCTTTGGACTCTCATTTGGACCATACTGCCACTGAAGCCCCTTTCTTTAACAGATTAGACAGACTAAGAATACAACATGTAAAAGCCAATAATAACAGGTTCAAACTCATGAAATCAGTGTTGACAGGCTAGTAATCATAGTAAATGAACTACTTAGACCGTTCAGCCAAGGAAACCCTTCTTAAATGAATATGACTGGCTACGGGTAAAAATTTGTAAAATCTGGTCATATTGATCTTTAAGGTGGTACAAAACACCTTGACTAAAATTAATTTTGGCTCGTTTAATTTTGATTAAATTTTGACAAAATATTTACTTTGACCCTTGTCAAAAATATAAAAATTTCAAAAATCTTGAACCACACTTTATCGGAAAAATTTCATTGGATATATAGCAGTTTGACAAACACTAATTTTGATCATTGAGAAGCTTTATATTTTCCTAACAATAGAACGTGATTAAAACGTTCAGCTGATTTTTACAGAGTTATCTCCCTGTAGGTGTTATGTACAACCTTAATTAGATAAACAATTTCAGTGGTATTTTTAGATGCATTGTATCGTAAGCAATACACTCCCATAATTATTAGCAGTCAATGCAATATATTTGTTTTTTAAAGTAGGTAAAGCCCATCTTGGTATCATATGGTCAAATTTAGTGCACTTCATTTGGGAAAATATTGCATCAATTTTATTTAAAAAATGATATGGTCATGAAAACTTCATGAGTGATAAATACATGTACTCTACATAGATACAATCTGTTATCAACAATAATAGTCAGAAATATTCAGCGTAATCCTGAAAATTATACTCAAATCAAAAACTATACACGGAGAATGCAACAATTTTCTTACTTTTTGTCTAAAAAGAGATCTTGACATAGACTTAAGAGTAAAATGGTCTCTTAATTGAAGACACAATTAACCATAAACAACATAAATATACCCTTTTTTTCATAACATTACAGTCATTTTTTTTTCAAAATCTAGCAAGGCTTTATTTTTTACCTCATTTTTTGTGTTTAAATCAGACCTCCCTTGAAGATCAATCTTATTGCACAGGGTACTTTTTTCACAGTTTCATCTTTAAAAAATAAATTTGCTTTCTTTATTTGTGCTGAAAGGGGAATAAGTGACATTACATTAAAAAATGTCAAAACAATGGTATTTTTGGGAATTTTAGCTGAGCCAATATCATTTACTCTCCCCCACCAGAATCCATCCCTGGAACTGACAACAAGAAGTAATCATGTGATTTTTGTAAGAAAAAAATCTACTAATTCCTGATTTTGTTTATGTATTTCTCAGAAATGGCTAAGACAATAAATGATTTAATCATTATCTATGACACAATAAAAACAAAACATTAATAAACAATCCCAAAATAATAAATGTTAGAACTAAAAAATATTTTCTTGGTTTCTAATTTACATATTTAAAATCACAATCATTCAAGTGTTTTTTCCAACAGTCATATGACAAATGATACCAAGAAGTAAAATGACACAGATATACATTGGTATTTACATAATAAAATAATAGATAAAATAATATTTATACACCAAATCTTTATTGAATGTACAAATGTTTATTTAAAAAAAAAATATGGCTTTGTATTTCCAGTTTTCATTAATACATTTCTTATTAAGAACCCCTCCTCATTTTCCAATTTAGTATTACACAGTTGCCAATTGGTCATTTCAGAATCTAATGCATTCCGGGTAATATTTTCAAATGCAGACACAAAAATGTTGTGATTGGTTAAAAACATACAAAACAATGGAAATTCAACCAATGACTGATGTCATTTTCATTTGGGTTCAAATAATGAAATTACTCATAGTCCTTTCAGATTCTGAAACAGCAAATCACCTAATGGACTTTTACTTTAATACCGCAATTGTCCACTTGACCTGATATCATTCTTTCTTCCAGTGTATCAATCAGGAAAGGACTGTCTAGTATGCAAAATAAGAATCCATGTAAACAGTTAAAAAATTTCAAAAGTCTGAAAAAACCTACATATCATAACTTTTATTGTAAAAGGAAATTAAAATCCTGCTCATATTTTTTACACAATCTAACAATGTAATCATTTCAGATCTCCGGTAAGTTTACTTAAATATTATGCTTTGACTAGACACAAGATATATATTTTCTAATTAAACTAAAAAGGGTCTGAAAACCACACAAATCACATCCTGTTTACATAGGGAAACATAACAGAACATATATTTATTTAAACCCACAATTTCAAATCTTAAATGCTCAGCATTTTACAAGTAAAAAATAACAATAAATGCAAATTTTTTCAAATAACAACTTTTAAACATGATGATCTAACAACAGATGAAGTCGTCATGACAATAATTTGACTAGACAAACTTTTATACGCTTATTTTTTCGACTTCAAAATGTCACTGCAAAACAGCAAGGGAAACTCAGAATTTTTTCAAACAGATTTTAGAAAAAGTAAAAATAATATATAGAAAATGTACATAGAAAAAACATACAAATCAAAATGTAGTGGAAAACTCATGTTAACACTTCATCCAAATAGAAAAGATTTTAACATTGGTTAAATTATTTTACAATGTATTGCTATAATTTGATATTCAAAATACTTATTTGCAAAATATTTAAGATTATTGCCATTTGCCTAGAGGATTTTGTTGACACAGCAGAAATACATATCATAAACCATGAAACCGATGTATTCATATCTTTTTAGGACTATGATCCGTATTTTTTCATTTTATTTTCATCAATAGATATAAGAAGATGTGGTATGAGTGCCAATGAGACAAAGTATGTTTAATAAAAGACACCTAACTCACATTGTTCATAAATTTTATGGGGTTATTTTCATGGCAGTCATTTTTATTGGTAAAAGAAACTAGAATACCCATGGTAAACTAATTTTTGATGAGCTACTGACATATGCTTATACACTGAATAGATGATTGCCTTGTTGGCCAAACAGTTAAGCCTAAAATTCACACGTAGGTGATAGGCTGTTTATGCAAATGCTGACTAAACTTGCTTACTGACACCATAAAATTAACAAAATTACACTGCATCATCCTCAGTCTGTATATCTTTAAAGTCTGTGCTGGAAATTGTATGCCAATGCAATGCACAGATCTTCTAGTTTTGCAAGAAGTTTAGATGTATAAACCAATCTCAATTTTGTCTGTTGTTGAGATGTAAAATATTTTCCCTATTTTCAAGCCTCAGAACAAAAAATATTTGACATCACAGACTAAAAGTGAAATTTTTTTCAAACGTCTTTAAAGTTTACCTGCACAAAAAAGAAGCGAGTTGAAGTAAAATCCTGGAGCATGATATTGGTGTATTTATAAGATATGCATGCCCATATTTTCAACTTTCTAATGACCTTAGCTGTGAATCCTGTGATAATATAAACCAGAAGAATATGTAAGATACTTAAGGTAACTTGTATCTATAGAAAAAGCAAGCGCAATTTGACAAAATGACAAAAAACTAAAAACAGCAAATTCACATGTTTCACATCTATACTTTATAACTGTAAGAGATCGACACATCAAAGATTTATTCATAAGGAAGACTGATGGATTGCATATTTATAGATAACCTTTGAACTTTTGTGATTGTCCCTGGCATATGCTATTTTCATTTATTTGTAAACACAATTTTCAAAAATATGACATACAGAACTAAACCATTTGTGAAATTGTCTCCCGTTTGTGCAAGAGCTGTTGTCCTTAGGTAAAACGTATAAATATATTTTTCTTTTATTTATCTGGCCTTTTCATTCTACTTTTATTAATCTGGCCTTTTCATTCTACTTTTATTAGAACATCTATTACCTTGTATGTAATAAATTCAATTGGTATAGAATTATTTTTTCTATAAAATTGCACTGTGCTGATTTTTACTACATTTCAAAATCAAATACTCTTTCATCTTTTATCACATGTATAATATGTACAGAATCAAACTGTCAAAAGTTTAATTTATATGAATTTTTGCCTATTTTTCTTAGCGTCTATAGCCTCTAAAATTGGTTGTCGCTTGGCTTGATATCTGGCTCGGAGTTCGTCAATCTCTCTCTCCATTTCAGGGTCAAGGTCAGCTAACCTGGCCTCTAATTCTTCATACTGTAAGTTTCTTAACTGCAAACACAAAATGGATATTAAATATCATAAAGTAAAACAGGATTTGACAGTTTAAGAGCTCTTAGTTAAATTTATGTAGACTACCAGCAGAAAAAAACATTGCATATTCCATTACAAATGTATTTACTAATAAAATCAAACAAAGTGAAAAGCATACATTCACAGATACAGCAAGTAGTAAAGATAAAGTATAAAAAGAAAAGACTTACAATATGCATATTAATAGCATGCTCAGATAGGAAAAAGAGTTATGTCCCTTAGATCACAACTTGGACAAATTATAATCATCTACTTTTTTCAACCACCCTTTTTTGTCACCTAAGCATTAATGCACTGAGGTTTGGTTTACATTGAAAATACTTATTGCTGTGGTTTGAGATATAAATAAAAGGAAATGTAGGATTTTTCAGAAATCCTTTGACGCAAAATAAACCAAGTCTCAATTTACTATCACAAGAATTTGAAGTAACCCAAAAAACACATCTCATAGAATTCCTCAGTTTTTTCCCTTTTGCTGCCATTTTCACAGAAATATTTAGGAACAACAATTAAGCTGTGAGCTACTGCTCACTATTGATACACACAGTGTCCTCCCCATGGCCTTTTAGCATCATGGTAATGTGATGCTATATTGCTTGAATGTGATACTATCTGATATTATCATGTTATAGATTGTTTTATGAATGTGATACTATCTGATATTGTCATGTTATAGATTGTTTTATGGATGTGATACTATCTGATATTATCATGCTATAGATTGTTTTATGGATGTGATACTATCTGATATTATCATGTTATAGATTGTTTTATGAATGTGATACTATCTGATATTATCATGTTATAGATTGTTTTATGAATGTGATACTATCTGATATTATCATGTTATAGATTGTTTTATGGATGTGATACTATCTGATATTATCATGTTATAGATTGTTTTATGAATGTGATACTATCTGATATTATCATGTTATAGATTGTTTTATGGATGTGATACTATCTGATATTATCATGTTATAGATTGTTTTATGGATGTGATACTATCTGATATTATCATGTTATAGATTGTTTTATGGATGTGATACTATCTGATATTATCATGTTATAGATTGTTTTATGGATGTGATACTATCTGATATTATCATGTTATAGATTGTTTTATGAATCTGATGCTATCTGATATTATCATGTTATAGATTGTTTTATGGATGTAATGCTTTAATTTATAGAATCAAGATGGTGTTTCATAATTTGCTGTTTACCAGGATACTATATGAAATTTGAAGGGAGAACACTGAATTCACCACTGTAAAAACTTTGAAAACAGGATGTTTATGAGTGATGAATCTGATAACATATCAAGCTGTATCACATGAACCCTGCCAAATTTGCAGGAAGCTCTGATTTCTTTTCCCATAAAAAATGCAATGAAAATTTCAACCATAGCCATTATGTGTTAAAATATATATAAATATATAAGAGGATCGATGAATCTGAAACTGCATCTCACTGTATTCACATGTTCACAGGAAGACTGAGAAAAATGTTAAGGAATTTCATGGGACCGACAGAGGGAGGAAAAACAATATACCTCCTCCCTCCTTTGGAGTGGGGGTATAATGAGATGGCTGTTCTGAAATTAAAGAATAAGATATATAGAATTTCTGAATACTCACAAATTCAAAATCGCCATCAATGAAAGACCTTTGGAAGTGATGAGGGGGTGTGGCTGTTTTCGGTGACATTGATGGTGGTGCTACTTGCTGAGGTTGTTGTGTTGGTTTAGCTGCAGGTTTTTCTTTATCGTTCTTCTCAAAATGGTCAAGGTATGATGGACGGTATTCGTCCTTACCAGCAGTGGCTGTCCCATGACCTGAAAATTTGTAGTAAATATTTTTTCCGATTTCTATATTATTTCATTGGAGATTTGTCAGGTACAGACCGATAGTATTGGCTTGAGATGTCAAATATTATGTTGACTAAATGATGAACTAATATAATAAAACCAGTGACTACATGTGATTATTTACATAAAAATATGCATTACACAATGTGTGAGAGCATTATTATTGGCAACCAGACAAAACAGAAAAAAACCATAATCAGATGTGTGTAATGGATTGTATTTTATTTTAATGCATCATATATTTTCAAAAACAACAACTATATGGGGAAAAAATTGCGGTTCCTATCCATTTTTATTAATATTTGTATTGCTAACATGATGTAATCATTAAAAGATTAAAACAAAACAAAAACATCAAAAATATAATTTCAAAACTTTGGCACAATACATTAATTTTTGTTATTTCCATTATTGAAAACATAATCGATTATCATTTCTTCAAAAGAAGATAATAAATCATTGAAGACAATCATTACAACACTAGTTATTGTTTGATAATAAATGGGATATTCAGCTTGCTACAATTTAGCAACAAACACTACGATATAAGTATTATTATCAAACCCTGTTATGTGTCAATGTGAAATGGAGAGAGAGACAGCAGCAAACAACATTCATTTATGATCAATTATGCATACCAGTAGACAAAAGTATCAATGAATATTGAGTACTGTAAATTCAGAAATTATTGCATGCATTTATTATTGCGATTTTTAAAGAATGAACAAAAATGCGAGATTAATTATTACGATTTCTGGAAAAAGCTGCATACAGATATCTGTATCAAATATCAGAATGCGAGTTCTTATTATTGTGATACTAACCCAGTAGCATTATTCGCATTAATAAAAATCTCACAATAATTTCTGAATTACAGTACTGAGGATTCAATTATTTTTCGTGGGTGTCTATTTTTGTGGATTTTGAAAATATTGTATATTCATCACAGATTTTTGAAATTGTGGATTTGCCAAATCTGCGTTTTAGTCTATAGAAAATTTATACTTCGTTGAACATTATATTCATATGTGACCTTTACCCAAGAAATTCATGAAAATTGATAATCCAGGAATAACGATTAATCCACAGCAGTATGTGAAATGATGTATGAAGAAAGGCATGAGATATGTAACCATGCTTTTTCAGACAAAAATGTAAAACATCTTACGTTTCATTGTTCCATCATCTTCGCTGTCTTCATTTATCACCATGGTACCCAGTTCTGACTCAACCAGGGTCCCTACTGTGCCATTAGTACTGGAACCTGTAAAATATATAGAAAATGAAGAGATATTATTATTTGTCCCCTGAAATTGCAAACAAAGTAAATTTCCCAAATTATTTAATGTTCAAATAAAAGAAAGGGGTGACATTGTAATGTTACTCTAGCGCAAACGTGTCATTTACCATTTCACTGCGACATCATAAAAATCTCAAAATTAACCTATTTGACCGAAATGATTATTCAACTATGAGTTTTAAATAAAATTAAAATCACTGACAAGACAGCCTCTAGCACCAGTTTGAGTAGAAGTATTTGCCTAATTAAAAGAAATTTAACAAATATTATCATAATTTGCATAAACATTCCTTATTTTGTACCTCAAGGATCTGTGACTTATAAAATTTATCACCTGTATTTTGTAAATCAAGTAAATTCAGAAATTATTGCATGCATTTCTTATTGCGATTTTTGAAGAATTTGAATAAAAGCTAGATTTAAGTATTGCAAGTTTCAGGAAATCTGCATACAGATATATGTACTTTGACATCGGAATGCCTGTTCTTATTATTGCGATACTCACCCAGTCAAATTACTCGCATTAATAAATACCTCGCAATATATTTCTGTATTTACAGTTTAATAGTAAAGGTGACTACGTAAATTATAATTTATGACATGAATTGTAAGTTACCTTGAGACTTCATTGTATTGTTGTCACCTCTGACCATTGTACCACCACCCTCTAATTCATCTTCTCCCTCCTGGTAAAACAGACATTTAGTTCAAAAATTTCAGCACATAATATTTTTTTTATTATAAAATTAACATTTTCTAAAATGAAATTTAATATTTAAATTTTCTGTTATTGCATAGAAAGAGTAAAAGAAAAACAGAAAAATTGATCCCAACAAATCAAATCGGAGGAATATTTGCATACAAACTTCTTCTAGGTTATTTGGAATGATTTTAGTCTATATCATATATAAATTTGTTTGAAGAGTTTTGATCTTTACCCTTTCAAGGGTGATTTAAAATGTGGTGTACCTGTATATTTTACTTGAAGATCCATTCCATTTTTACCAAATTTTTGTGGTCTGACAAATATACAATATTAGGTCTATGTCAGAAAAATATAAACTTTTTTGTATGGGGCTGAGAAACTGGGGAAGGGCAAGGTTGTACCGAGCCCTTCCCCAGTTTTGTGCCGAATACAAAAAACTTTATATTTTTCTGACATTGACCTAATATTGTTTTTATACTGCAACTTAAATTAATACATTGATAGCTATTTAAATTGTAACACAAATTTCAAACTTATTTTCATCCCTTAATGAACCACTGATTGTGGAAAAAGTGATCCATGATGAAATTGAAATTGCACAAAATTTAGCTGTGTTATTTTATTTAGGAAATAAACACAACTAGTTGCAGAATAAATGTTTAAATTTGTGGCCTTATCAAACAATAAGACATCAGCCCCTTTAACATCTGAAAGTATCTTTTGGTTTTTAGCTGTGAGTGCCTATCTAATTGACAATGCTCTAAAATATTCTTTTATTGATATCATCATTTATTCATTTGTAATCCACACAATACTCTTAAAAGCAGAACAGTGCTCCGAAACTATGCGAAAAAAAACCCCTTACTGAATCATCTCCATTTGTCGTTATGCCTGCCTGCATTTCTAGTATTTCTCTAGCCTCTTGTATCATCTTTTGCAACGTTGTTCTGGGATTTGCTGACTTTACAAACTCATGCTGCAAATAAATAGGATACATAAGTTCTCTTCTTCAGGCTTATATATCAAACATATATAAACATTGAAAATCAAGAATATGTGCCCTTAGGTCACACCTACAAGAGGGTTAGATATCACAAGCTCAGTGTTATGAGGCTAGTGATCAACGAAGATATACTACTTAGACCACTCTGCCTACGAAGCCAATAGGAATTAATTCCTAGAAATAATGTAAGCAGAATCCAGAAGTATTGAATTCAATTTACATACAGGGCTTAATCTACATCAGCAAAATTTTCAACTTTGTTACTGAGCATTTTCAAGAAAAAATAAATGTTTTACAATCATTTCAATTTCTATGTTTTCTCATTTCCAAATGACACACTGATATAGAAATCCATTTTATGTTTGGAATATATCTAAATGTTGGGAAATTGATTGATTGATTGTGGCTTTTTGTGACGGTCAGTTTTTATTGGTGGAGAAATTGGGAATTTGAACATGAAGTTTAAAAGCGCAATATCATAAATATTTAAATAAGCTATAGAAAGTTATGTAAAATAAAGTTATGAACTTGAAGAGCAACTCTATGTTTAATAGTTGTTTTTTTTACATAAACAAGCACCTTGAAATAATAAAACACTGCAATACGAAAAATTGTTTTTTTTTAGAAATTATTTCCTATATTTCTATTGGAGATAACCAATGGGTTTTTAGATTGTGTAATATCCCCAACTCTGCAATGCTTGATTTGCTGAAAATTACTCATATATTTTGTTCAAATCATGCAAAAATGTAAGCATAGTATTACTAGGATAATCTTTATAACAATTGTTTTTTTACCAAAAAGATGTGAAAAATAGTGGAGAAACAACACTTCTCTGAACTTCTGATGTCCAACTAGCTGAATAGCTATTGTAAGACAATGGCAAGTGTGGCGATAGAACTGTCTAGTTCTGACAAAAACTTGTAGAATGTAGAAATCTGGAATAGTCCATTTGACTTTTATATATTTGCAGAAAAATATTCTTAAAAATCCATTTTTTCAAATTAAAATTTTTGTTCTTGATGTATACTAATATATGAGCTGCATCGGATAGAAATCGACCTTATGCAAATCAATATTTATGCAAATCAATATTAATACACTTGTTAACTTATTTCAGGTTGAAAAAATCTCTATGCAAAGTCTGTAACTGTTTAAAAATTGAGTTGATATGAAAACCAAACAAAACAGACCAAAATTTATCTTTTATTTCGTTTTTGAATGTTCCAAAATCAAGCAAAGTCTTATACATGTACATGTATACGTCCACTTGCATAAGGTCGATTTCTATCCAACGCTGCTCATATGATAAATAGGAACTCTTGACTTTTAATTTCTTATAAAATATCATACCTCCATGAGTTCCTCTGCTGTAGTTCTGAGTTCTGGTTTCTTTACAAGACATTTAGATACAAAATCTATAAATTCTGTTGACCATTTATCTGGGTTCCTGAAAGATGGTGGTGGCTTGGTGGGTATCATAAATATAGCCTGGAAAATCAGATGTATATTCAGTTAAGACTAACAATTCAATATTTACAAAAATAAATTTGAAGATTAAACATGTATCTCTCACATCTATCTCCAAACAAATGATAATAATCTCAGTTGTTTTACTTTTTCTTAAAAAAAAATTATAATCTAACTTGACTTTATGTATTTTGATGATGATGGATGGCTGCTTAACGTCCTGTGGCAAATTAATATGCATATTCAGGACGAGAACATGTTAATTTAATTTGAAATTTAGCCCTGCTTTGTACTAGAACGACAAGCTGGGCTGGATTTTTACCGTGCTAAATCACAAGGTAACAGTCCGCAGGAAGTCATTACCTGGACACATTATTCAAACTCTGAGCTGACCAGTCTTTGCTCTTACTCCTTAATTCTGCATGCTTAGCGAAGCAGCAGCAAATATCAATTTTAAAGTTTTTGGTTTGACACGGATAGGGTTCGAACCCACAACCTCCCGCACTCGAAGCGAACAGGCTACATTTTACAACGAGACCACCGAGGCGGTTCATGTATTTTGATAAAAATATATTTTTTATTAGCTATTCTAAGCTGTGTAATGGTATATGGTATGAATTCATTTCCAAAGAAGAATACTTTTATATCACCCTCCCTTCTGAAACAATATGTGAAGAAAATTTGGCTTTGACCAAATTTTCATTTTATTCATATAAAGGCATTATTTGGTCTTATTTTTCACAGAAATTGGAAGTTTTATTTTAAAATTTCCATTTTTGTCTATTTCAAAGTTTGGAAACATAAAACTAAAAACATACAGTATAAGATCCATGATATCACAAAATCTTTTATGGTTTTAAAGCAATTGATACTATCGATAATGTTGTCATTGAATCAATTACATGTCTTCTCATAGGCACAATAAAAATAAAGTACTTTAAAAAACCGGAGACTAAAATGTTTTTCTTAAAATGTCATTACTTACTCTCATAGGATGTATATCTCCATATGGGGGTTTCCCTTCTGCCATTTCTAATGCTGTTATACCTGTCAAATAGAACAATAACATGTACAGCGTGTGTGCAATCAGGGAATTAAATTTGATCTTCAGTCAGCACTGGACGTCAGAATACATTTATTGCCCCGTTGTTGGTGTTGCTGTCTTTAGTTTTGTAGACTGTTGTTGCCTTTATGTCTTATTTTGCCATGGTTTTGTCAGTTTTACTTTGACTTACGAAAATCTTTTTATTTTGCAATCTTGCTCAAGGCTACTATTAGTTTTCTCCATAAAGAATTTTGGCAACAGGACTTAGAGTCATTTGCCTGGCAGATCATTATAGCCTATCATCATTATTGTGATTGTTTTATTCTTGTTGCAGTCATTGGCAAAAATGTAAATTGTTGTAAAAATTTTACTAGAGAGATTGTCAATTACTCATGAAAAGGTCAGAGGTAATATCTGTTCGAGATTCACAGCTTTCAATACACCTTATCGCTATTCCTGCTTGAACTTTTGACGTCATACAACAATCACTTTTCCATTGTGGCGTCAGATATTTTCTATTATGGCTTCCAAATTTTACGGGAACTTTTGATGTCCAGTAATGGCGGACAAATAGCGATAAGGTGTACTGCAACTTATACCAACAGTTAAATTGGACTATCTAAACTACTATGGACAAGTTGCTGAAATTTACATCTGAAAATGTCCTTAAATACAGAAATTGTAGAGGGCTTCTTACCTAAACTCCATATATCTGCTACACAGTCATATCCTATCTCCTGTATAACCTCTGGGGCCATCCAATATGGAGTGCCTATCACAGTATTTCTTTTGGCCATTGTATCCTGAAATAAATATGAACCAATCTATTATGGAACTAATGCACTAATATTCAAGAAACAATTCATGGGAGCTTGAATTTATATTGATTTTACCACAGATTGGCCCTTTATGCATGCCAAATATTTTACCACAAGCGATAGCAGTTTTAACAGAGTACAGCTCTTGGCTCTTTTGCAGGAACAACACAATTGATAAAAAGTTCATCAAAAATGGAACTTCTTATCAAACTGAATTAAATACTGAGAGGTTATTCCCCTTTAAATTTCTGTGATAAAAAAAAGTTTGATCTCAGTTTAGTCTCAGTTTGGTCTCAGCAAGATTAGTCTACAATTTATAAGTCGGAAACAAACCATACATATAAATAGTAAAGTATAACTTACTGTTAATTGACCTGCCACACCAAAGTCCGCCAACTTGGCATGCCCCACAGTATTGAGCAATATATTTCCCGCTTTTATATCCCGGTGAATTTTTCGTCTGGAATGCAGATAGTTTAAACCATGTAATGTGTCCAACATCAGCGTAGCTATCTCATCTTCTGTTAACTGTAAATATAATCACATTCAAAATATACTGAAAAGATACGGAAACCAATGAAATTTCGTGGATATATATTTTAAGCCATTTTTTTTATTTTTAGTGATGTATTTATTAAAATTGATGGATTGATTTGTGTTTAACACCACTTTCAACACTATAGTGTTATTTCGTGCCAGTCACTTTTTATTGGTGGAGGAAGCCAGAGTGCCTGGAGAGAACCACCTACCTTCGGTAGGAAAAATTGACAATCCTAGTCAATTAAGATTGGAGTCCAGAGCACCTGCCCTGTGCGGGAATCGAACTCACAACCTCAGTGTTGACTTGCTAGTGAAACAGTAGTTCGACTTCTTAGACCACTCGGCCACTGAGGCCCCTTATTTATAAAAGGGAAGGTCCAAGTTTTACAACTTTGTGAGGAATTTATTTGTGTTAATTTTCTACTTCCTGAAGGTCAAAAAAATAAATCGATTGTGAAAACAAGTTAACAATACTGTAAATTCAGAAATTATTGTGAGGTTTTTAAATGCGAATAATGCGACTGTGTGAGTATCGCAATAATAAGAACTCGCATTCTGATATCTGATGCATATATCTGTATGCAGCTTTTCCTGAAATTGCAATAATTAATCTGGCATTTATGTCCATTCTTCAAAAATTGCAATAATAAATGCACGCAATAATTTCTGAATTTACAGTACATTGTTTACATTGATTGATTGTTGGTGTTTACCGCCACTTTTAACCATCTCGACTATTTCATGGTCGCCAGTTTTTAATGGTTAAGGAAAACCAAAAAAACCTGGAAGGAACCAGTGGCCACAGAAAGAAAACCTACTAATAGTATTATAGTCAATAAAGACTGGAGACAAGTGTACCTTGCCTCAAGCTGGATTCAAACACATCCCTCAGTGTTGACAGACTCAGACAAGTGTACCTTGCCACAAGCTGGATTCAAACACATCCCTCAGTGTTGACAGACTCAGACAAGTGTACCTTGCCACATGCTGGATTCAAACACATCCCTCAGTGTTGACAGACTCAGACAAGTGCACCTTGCCACAAGCTGGATTCAAACACAGCCCTCAGTGTTGACAGACTCAGACAAGTGTACCTTGCCACAAGCTGGATTCAAACACATCCCTCAGTGTTGACAGACTCAGACAAGTGTACCTTGCCACAAGCTGGATTCAAACACATCCCACAGTGTTGACAGACTTAGACAAGTGTACCATGACACAAGCTGGATTCAAACACATCCCTCAGTGTTGACAGACTCAGACAAGTGCACCTTGCCACATGCTGGATTCAAACACATCCCTCAGTGTTGACAGACTCCGACAAGTGCACCTTGCCACAAGTTGGATTCAAACACATCCCTCAGTGTTGACAGACTCAGACAAGTGCACCTTGCCACATGCTGGTTTCAAACACATCCCTCAGTGTTGACAGACTCATGATCATTGTAGATAAACTACTAAGATCACTCAGCCAATATTTTTTACATATATGAACCCAGCATTTTCCTAAATTTTCAAGTGGCAAGCTGCAAGGAGAGGTCAAGCCATGCTGATTATATCATCAGCTAAATGTTGATTGATCAAATAGATGACAGCCAAAATGATAAAGTAGAAAGCTATATATTTAGTCACCTACCTGGCTTCTAAACAAAACACTAATAATATTATTATATCATTCTGGCATTCGGTTTGGTCAATAGATTTATATGACTCCCAAGTCTTTTAAGATTCAATAAAACTTACAAATACTGTAAATTCAGAATTTATTGCGTGCATTTATTATTGCAATTTCGAAATTACAGACCAAAATGTGAGAACAATTATTGTGATTACAAGAAAAGCTGCATAAAATATATGGGTCAGATCTCATAATGCGAGTTCTTATTAATGCAAGACTCACCCAGTCACATTATTAGAAATAATAAAAACCTTGCAATAATTTCTGAATTTACAATATTATTACACCAATTTTAACCAGGACAACTTTCTCTCCATTTTTATGATTGCTAACTAAGACAGGTCCTGTAGTTTACTGGTTTCTTTGGTTGTTTAATTGTACAGTATAATAGGATGCATTTAATTTTTTCTATCTATTTTTATTTTTTTATGAACATGAGGTATTCTGTAAAATAATTTTTGCCAATGTAGGAACACCTCTTCTGTAGTTTAGGATTCACAAAATGAATAAAATATCACTTCCACCACAATTACTATATATACACTATTTACAACCAATCCTTGTTGATAAACCCAGCTTTAAGTCAATAAAAGCAGGACTAACACTTCTGCTATTCACTTCTAAACATCTCAAGTTCTCTTTTGTTTTAAAATTTTAATAATCTCCTGGTGTCATCCAGGATTTCGGGTCCAAATATAAACACTAAAAACTAAAGATTAGGTGCTCCGGAATTCGGGTAAGCAGTTCCTGCTAAGGAGAAGGTAGAAAATAATGTGAGTATCATATCTCTTAAACGTCTTAGTAATGGTTTACTAAAAAAATATAACTAGCATTTATTTGTTAAACAGCGAATAATTCTAACATTTTCTTTAAAAATCTAAGTAAAAGAATGCACTCTCCGACTAAATGCAGTTTCAAATATAATTCATAATACGATTTTGAAAATTATTTAAGAATTTACAAATATCACTATATCATGGGAGATAACTCTATTTCATAAAATACGGTCATTGACTTAAATTTTGATCATTGTTGATCACCCAACAATGTTTAGTCAATAATTCAAATAAATGATAATCAATTTAAGCTGTAAATGTTATGCTCTAGAACAAGTTACTTTTTTTTATTAAAATTGGATTTTCTCCAGAACTTTTTTTACTGTTCCATTACATGGCTATGCTACCTTTGCAAAAGTCAAAAACTGAAAAGGGAAGTCACTGAAGTGTTGTGTTTACATAGCCAATACTCAAATTTAAATCTCTTGATTATTTGCAGTTTAAAATATACTTAACTGTTTACCAGTAAAACAAAATGTGTTGAAGTTAACAAAAAAATAAGTGCTTCAATTTGCTGTTTTAATGCCCAGGACCAATATATACTGTAAAATTAATCAAAGGGCTTATTACAAGCATTATAATCAAAAGGAAAGAAACAAAAAACTGATTCACAAACACTTTCATATCTCTCACAGAGAACTGGTTCAACATTGCAATGCATAATGAGACAATAATACACATTTATATTTATAAACATTGGGAAGAGAGTCACCTGTCAGTTGTGTAAAGAGAGATAACTAGAATTTGATCTTAATATAAAAATAAGAAGACCTGGTATGACTGCCAATGTGACAACTCTCCACAAGAGACCAAAAGTCTTTACATCAACAGGTATACAATTATCAAAATTATCAAGCTAGATGGACAGATGGATGGCTGTTTAACATCCAGTGGCAAATTAAATGCACATTCAGGACAAGAAGATGTTAATGAGAAATGAATATGAACCCTTCTTTGCATAATACTGACAACCTCAATTGGATTTTTTTTTTAACTGACAGGTTCACAATCTAACATTCTTCAGGAAGATTTGTTACCCTGCCTGGACACATTATTCTGACTCCCAGCCAACCAGTCTTTATACTTACTACTGAATGCTGAATGCTCAGCAGAAAAGCAGCAAATATCATTTTAAAGTCTTTGGTTTGACCAGCCTGGGAATCGAACCACCACCTCCCTGCACTCATGATGAGCACGCTACCACAAGACCACCGAGGCAGTTTTAAACTATTGAAATCACATAAATAATGAAGCATAAAAATATATTCAGATAAATGTTACAATTATGTGACTTATTCATTCTACTGTCTTTGAGGACAAGGGACAGATTGTTAACAAAAATGTTTTATATATGTTTTATGTATCATGTAATTTGTATTCTGGTTGTCACAAGCTGTTCTTTATATGTTTTTTTAAAAAACAATACATATTATTAATATATTAATGAACAACCTTAAATATGCTGAGGAAAATTCCATTTAAATAATTATTTATTTAAATAGAATTTTCTGTAAGCATCAGCATTTACTTTTTTAATTTGAAAAATTTAGAATAAAAAAAACAGATGTGCTGGGACCCCCCCCCCCCCCCCCCAATCAAGATATTTTAGGAGCAAGTGAATCTGAAATGCAAATTAATTCTAGGTTAATGTGATGATCAATATATTTCAAGGTGACAGTAAGTTTCTTTCACCACTGACTTGTTCATATTTACAATATTATATCTTCCTTTTTTTATTTTACAAATAATAATATCTTTTTGTCATATACACATAATTAGTTTGTGACAAAAAGCAAAAACAAACATAACATAGCAAAGAAACAACAATTCTATAAGACATGAACACAAGGAATTAAATTATAAGACTTCTGCCCTCACTCCTTTTATAAAGGAGCCAATATTTTTAACATGTTCCATGATAGAGGGATTGAGCATTTCTTTTACTTTTTGTTCTTGGGTAAGAGACATAAAATTTGAGAAGGTAAACAATTTTCAAATAGGTTATCCCTAAGTTTTTTGTTAATTTTACAGTCAAGGAGTAAGTGGCACAGTTATCATATAGAATTATCCTTTCTAGGAATTTTATAATAGTGACCCTTTTCTATTTCTAAATTATGGTCAATAATTCTCAACTTATTGAAGCATTTTCTTATTAAAAAAGCTAAATAAAATTCCCTATCCAAGCTAAGTTTTAATTTTTTATAATTTATATATAAAGTAACAGTTTTCTATATGTATCATACCTATTTATTCTATTTTCAAAAATATTTTTACATTTTTCTTTAAATTCATGTTTAATCAAAGGCTTTAAAGAGTCTATTTCATTCAAGTCCCTACAATTTCTAACTTTATCTAAAAGGTCTGGGTTTCGTAAAATATTCTTGAAATATGTATACCAAGAATATTCTGAATATGTACCATGAGAGACCAGCAGTTTTAACAATATAAATACTTCTTTAAGATGGTACCAAACACCTTGACTAAAATTAATTTGGCTCGTTTAATTTTCATAAAATTTTGACAAAATATTTACTTTGACCCTTTGACCAAAATATAAAAATTTCAAAAAACTTGAACCACACACTTTATCGAAAAAATTTCATTGGATATATAGCAGTTTGACAAACACTAATTTTGATCATTGAGAAGCTTAATATTTCCTTAACAATAGAACGTGATTAAAACATTCAGCTGAATTTTACAGAGTTATCTCCCTGTATTGTTATGAACCACCTTAAGTCAGTATTCAGTCTTGCTAGGTAAGATAGAGACTTCGTAAAAATTAAATGTTTAAGGGGGCAGTCTTCCTAGTTCTGCTGGGGCTGCTATATTTGAAGCGGTTTTTCTGGTGACAGTGAACCTTTTTGAATGGAGTTTCATGATATCAATAAATAAAATTTAATCAAAGGTATTATCATTTTGTTCAGCTCTTATCTTAGCTCTGCATCATGAATAATAGTATTATGATGGGTCACATTAAATAAATGAGATTGTAAATTGTTTTTAACAAGATGAATAATTGTCAGCACAGCATGAGCAATATGAAATTTTCAGCAGGACAACCTGAGATAACTTCCATTTATAACATATCTTTCATCTCCTGGGTTCATCCAGGATTTAGGTTTCAAATATAAACATAAAAAACTAAAGATTAGGTGCTCCGAAATTCGGGTAAGCATATCCTGCTACCTCATAAACAGTCAAATGAAACATTTGTCACAACTGTTAAATTTCTATAACAGAAGTATGTAACTGATCTACACTTTACATATTTTCAATCAGAGTCAATCTTTTTTTTACATATTCTGAATAAGTTATATTTAGATTACTATTAAAATTTACATTTATATTTATTAAATAAAATTTATAATACAATTTTGATAAAAATTATGTTTCTTAAACCTGATCAAAAGAAGGTAGATAACTCTATTTTTTTTTAAATTCCTTTTTTGGATGTGACAAGATATTTTATTGAGCCAATTATCAGTACATCGCCCATTGCTCAGCATATTTATCATTCATAACAAAATAAATACATATAAAGCACAATTACAGCAAAATAGATTGAGTGTGTAGGTAAAGGTAATATCTTTGGCTAGCTTGCTTGTTAGCTGAACAGTGAAATCATTATAAGGTTAACTATACTGATTTCACTGTTCAGCTATCAAGCAGTGAAATCATTATAAGGTTAACTATACTACCCTTCTTTTGGAGAGTCTAGTCCTACAGACAGATAGATTGGTTATCTGTCGGACTAGTCTACTCTTAAAACAGGGTAGTGTACCTAACTTAATAATGACTTCAAGGTTCAGCTAGCAAGCAAGCTTACCAAAGATTTTACCTTTAACTACACACTCAAGGCATTTTGATGTAAAATCTTTGATTTACATTGACAAGTAGGAATGAAATATCATTAGATGTGGTATGATTGCAATTGAGACAACCATGCATCCACCTGAGACCAAAGGACAAATATAATATTTGTGTATATTCAGTATAAAATAAATAAATAAACATTATTTTAGATCTGACAACTGAATTTACAGCTTTTTTTTTGTAGTTTACATGTAAGTGTTTTTATCTTACAGATTATGCTATTTCAATCAATTTATTTGCTTTAAACATCACAATTTTATTTTAATCAAAAGTATACAACTGCACATTTTTTCTTAAAACACAAAAGCACTTAAATACAAATTCTGGAAAATTTCATCCCATTTCACTAAAAGTTTCAACCGATGGTATTAAATATTTATTTAAGATTGTTTTAAAAAATGGTAAAGAAGGTGAAAGTTTCATACATACATACATACATACTTGAAATAATCAAAGTGCTTGTGAGCACTGTCAGAAGAGTAAAGATCACTTTCATTTTGCAATTGTGAACTAAAAATTAAACATTTAATTGCAATTGAACATATTTAAGAAATATTTTGAATTGGAGTTATCTTCCTCTGTCTATAATTGTAGTTGAACTTGAACCTTTTTTTAGATCTTTTCCTAATGCTTGTAGTTTAAAGGTTTGGTTGGCTTGCTTGCTTTGTTTGTATAAATGTTATCTCAAGCATTCCAATGTTATTGGATGTTAAGTATAATGCAGAGTATAATGTATACAAGCTGAAGCCCCACCTATCTATTGATTGCAGATGTCAATCTGTATTACAATGATTGAGCAAACATTTATACAAACAATGCAAGCAAGCCAACCAAACCTTTAAACTACAAGCATTAGGGAAATAGTTCTAAGGAACAGATAGATTCATAGGCCATGCCCAACTTATGCAGTTTTTGATAAAATAGTTTTCTTGACAAGTATGGTTAAACACATCATTTAGTAACTTGAAAATCTGACAATATAATTATCCATTGCTGGGCATTGGCATGGATATGATCCTGGGAGGTATACTATAGATATCAAGCCAGTAACATTAAGATTTTGATTGTGCAATCTTTATCCCCCAATATACTTACAGTTTTATTGCGTAATCTCATTATATCTGATACAGAACCTGCCCCACAATATTCCATTACGATCTGAAAATATAAACAAAAAGTAAAGGCTACTCCAATTAAATCTGCATTTTGCATACGAGCCACACATTGCATGTCTTGTAAAAATTCTTATTTAAACAAAAATATAGTGCAAAAAATGAATGAAAAGGAGAGTAAGGGTAAAACAACAATGGTAACCAGTGTTCCCGCCTGCCCTAAATAGAAGGGCGGCCGTCCTTGGTGCCCTTACCGTGCTTACTGCCGCCCTTCTGATGTCCGAAATGTTCCATTCTGCCCAAAATGTAAAAAAAAAAAATAAAAAAAAAAAATAAAATTGCATATTTTTACGATATCGGCATTTCCGTTCGAAATTTTTTATCTCATTTTAACCAAATAATCAATTTACAATTTCCCTGGCATGTAGCAGTCAGCAATTTTATAACAGTCGATGAACTGATGTAACTGATTACAGGCAATCATTATCGGACAAAGGACAGTTGATTGTAAATCATTGATTTAATTTCCACCTGATTAAAAGGTCAGCTTGGGTCACGCTTGTCATGATTAGCATTTTCTTCAAAGAAATTGTGCCGACTACTCATACTCAGGATTAGTGTCACAGATTGTGTGTTTCTGATCATATTCTTAAAATTACGTTTAAAAGATGCCTTCGCAGAAAAGACGATTAGCACAACAGCAGCATGGAAATCAGAAAGTTGCCAAACAGAATTGTTCCATTACTTCGTACTTCAATAAAGATTCTACTCAGTACATATTTTAAATAAAATATTATTCCCTGACCCTATGTGATGTACAACATTTTCTCCCATACTTATTATGCAAATGTCCGGTATGCGATGTTCAACATAAAATTTAAAAAAAAATAAAATTCAATATCAGGATGAATTAAAATGTCTGTGAAATCAAAATACATGATGAAATGTGATATTAAAATTATATGAAAACGAATAGTACCAACTAAGTTGATAAATGTTTGGACGCATGATATTGGTAACCAGTGTTCCCGCCTGCCCTAAATAGAAGGGGGCCAGCCCTTGGTACCCTTACTGCCACCCTTCTGCCCTTCTAATGTTCGAAATGCCACCTTCTGTCCAAAATGTAAAAAAAAAAATTTTGGGTTGTGAGTGGAAAATAGTAAAAAAAAAAAATAATGTACAGTGTTACCAATTTATCAGGTTTTGAGCGAAAAATAAAAGTTGTCTGCTCTTTGGTTGGGTTGTTGTCTCTTTGACATATTCCCCATTTCCATTCTCAATCTTATTTTAATAATATATGGTGTTTAAATGAACTATTCGTTCTGAATAAAATAAAAAAAGAATTTTTAAGCTATTAATTGTCAATTATGAAAGTATGTTTTTGGTTAAAGAAATAAGAATGGAAGTTTAAGTTGTAAACTATTTTTGTTCCCACGTATGTTTCTATAAAAACTGACATTATTATTTTTTTTTGATAAATTTCTCCCTTTATCATGTTTATTTTTAGTACTGAGGAGACTACTAGTGCCGAAACTCCAAGTAGTATTACTTCAAATCAGGATGTAGTCACCAAACCAATTACACCTTCAAAACCAAAGAAAAGTAAACACAAGACTGGCTTTGATGCAGCTTGGCTTACTTCATTTACTTCGTTGCTAGTTGTTAAAGAACCAGACTCCAGTGGCAACAACACCGATGTCATTTACTGCAAACTTTGCGTGAAGCAACGCACTTATGGGTACAATGGTAGCAAGACTTGGGTAGACATTGGATACCGCTGCTTACATAGAGACAAAATTAAGGAACACCACACTTATGGGTACAATGGTAGCAAGACTTGGGTAGACATTGGATACCGCTGCTTACGTAGAGACAAAATTAAGGAACACCACACTTATGGGTACAATGGTAGCAAGACTTGGGTAGACATTGGATACCGCTGCTTACTTAAAATTAAGGAACACCAAGATAGGAACCAACATAAAGATGCACTTAAACTAGAGGTCAACCACACCATCTCTGACATGACAGCAAAGATAGCAACAACTGCACAGAAGTCTATCTGAGATGCACTCAAGGTGTTGTACTTTTTGATCTCCCACAACTTGCCACTAGACATGTTTTCATCATTCATAGACCTTTATATAGAGCTTGGTGCAACCAACTTAGACAAACTCCGACTTGCAAAGTGTGCATCCTACTCAAGCTGGGAGATAGTTCAGGAGCTACTCGACATTGTCAGTAGTGAAGTAACAACATCAGTAATATCTGATATGCAAAAAAATCCATTACTAACCAAACAACCAGATAATAGACATGTAGAGGTAGCCATGGTAACTGTAGTCTAGAAAGTCTGAGGCCTCATCATCTTCTCAATTTCAGAAAATTTCTTTCTTAATCTTAATACTCTGTTTTTATCTGAGTCTTTAAGCAAAGTGCAGGGTTAAGTCTTTTGGTCAGCTTTATTTTAAAACGTTGACGATTGTAATGTGATTAACAAACTTTGAGAATAACTTACCCATAAGTCTGTGTTTTTGAAGTAACTTCCATAATATTTAACTATGTATGGACTATCACACTGTTGCATGATGGATATTTCTTTAATGATTTCCTGTAGATCAGTATCCACTGGAACCTGTTTGATGGCCAGAACCTGACCTGATTCTTTATGGAGGGCTTTATACACACTTCCATAGGACCTGTTACAAAAGAAAGTATACACACAAAATGTTATTCCTAATTTGAACATTATAATGCCTAATGACATCAATGAAAGCTTTGAAACTTATATTTTTTAGTTTTTTTTTAATATAAGATCAAAATTAAAACTGATGAATGAGTTGTCATGCTAAGCATACCCCCACAGGTGATTTAGAGTATCCAAAAGAACAGGAAAAAGGTGTCGGACAGATTCGAAAATGCACACAAATTACAACATATCACTTATCCCCTCACCTGAAACAGTCACATAATGTACATCAAAACAATATCAAATTCATAATACATGTAAAACTACATAATGTATTTTGAAATTTGAAGTTAAAATTATCTTTTAATTCAACATGTTAAAAGACCCTTGCAATAAATGAATCTGTAAGATATATATATCTAAAATTTTCTATCTGTGCCTATTTAACATACAAAAAAAAAGTACCCTTTTCTCAAGTGAAAGTTGAATTTACTGCATTTTATCCAAACCAACTTTGCAGAAGATACCTATTGTATATAATTGTTAAATTTGTTCTCGCACTGAATAGGAATGAAATATTTACACAAAATGTACCACTGGATGTTGAGCCAACAATTACAATCAATCAATCAGTGCTTTAGCATATTCAGTTTATTGACACATTTAACTAGTTTAAGCTATAGTGAGAGTTTAAGGTTAGTTATAATTGTAGACTGTAAATAAAATTGAGTTTCATACCCTCTTCCTATTTTACAAATAATATCAAATACTTCATCAGGAGGTTTGGCCAGACTTTCATCACTTAGTTTGGTCAGCTCACTACAATATACAACAACATCAATATTATAAAAGTATAAAATACATGTACATGTACAGTACCTTTTGAGTCTTGCTACGACAATAGTCGGACATCTAACCTGTCCGTCATCTCATCTCGGACATATGTCCAACAGTCATAAATTAAATGATTGACAGGTACAGCTACCTACATGAACCCTTTCATCCTTAACCGCCACTGAAAGACAGCACACATTTATCAGTCTGTTACGGTTCAACTCATTTTATCTACCTGTGTTGACCAGTAAATGGTTTTATACATGATCATTCTCTTTTCGGATGCCATTGACGAAAAATGATATAGATCATAAGATGTAACTTTATTACAATAAATTTTAGTTTCTTCGTCATGTTTACTGTGTTATTGCCCAATACTGTGCAATTGAAAATGTCTTGCTATTGCGCAATACTGTGCAATTGCAGATTTTTTGCTATTGCGCAATACTGTGCAGTTGAAGATTTCTTGCTATTGTGCAATACTGTGCAGTTGAAGATTTCTTGCTATTGCGCAATACTGTGCAATTGAAGATTTCATGCTGTTGCTCAATACTGTGCTATTGCACAATACTGTGCTATTGCGCAATACTGTGCAATTGAAGATTTCTTGCTATTGCGCAATACTGTGCTATTGCACAATACTGTGTTATTGCACAATACTGTGCAATTGAAGATTTCTTGCTATTGCGCAATACTTTGCAATTGAAGATTTCAAAAAATTGAAATTTCAAAAATTTTGAAGAAAAAAAATGAACCCCCCCAAAAAATTTGGAAAAAAAAAATCCCCCCAACTTTTTGAACCCCCACCCCCCTTTTGGAGTTATTACCCCCAAACTCAATCCCAGCCTTCCCTTTATGGTATGGACCTTGTAGTACAATTTTAGAGAGATCCATACACTAAAACACAAGTAATTGTCTGGAAACTAGAAAAATGCTTGTTTTAGGCCCCTTTTTTGCCCCTAATTCCTGAACGTTTGGGGCAATTAACCCCAAACTCAATCCCAGCCTTCCATTTGTGATATTGAACCTTGTGGTACAATTTCAGAGAGATCCATACACTTACACACAAATTATTGTCCAGAAACTACAAAAATGCTTGTTTTTGGCCCCTAATTCCTAAACTGTTGGTACCATCACCCCCAAAATCAATCCCAACCTTCCTTTTGTTGTATTGAACCTTCTGGTAAAAATTCTTAGAGATCCATTTACTTAAACTAAAGTTATTGTCTGGAAACTAAATGTGTCATCGGACGACAACGAAGCAGCCGACGACATCATAGCATTATATGACGCAAAAATTTGTTGTTGGTTGTATAAAAATAAGGATCAATACATTATTTTCATTATCACCCAGAGAAATATGCATATACATGTACATTGTCTTTTTTACGTTTTATATATCAATAATATAAACTTTTTCTTTTTGCTCATTCATGTTAGGGAAAGTACACAATAAATTGTGGCAATGAAATATTTCATTCATATGTTCATGAAATTCTGCAATAAAACACGTGCTCCAAAAGTTTGTTACAATCTGTAAATACTAAAACCGTGGGAAAAATCGATACGCATTGTGGCAACACATATTTTGTCATGGGTGCCGACAATTAGATAATTCCAAACTGATGGACTTAATAAATTACAATTTAAATATAGGATTCAGCATATTCAAGTGAAGTTAAAAGATATGCTCCGATTTAAATACACACATGTACATGTATCTATCATGTCTATCATGGTCAATCAATCAGCTATAGGTATATATATTTAAACAATGTGAACAATCAGAATTTTGTAACTTAGGGATGAAAATATAAATTGACTTGTGCATGGTGTGTTAATAATTATTAATATGAGAACCTTTTTAAGGTCCGTTATGTATAGTATAAATTGAGTAAAAACAAAGGGAGTTTCACTTTCATACTAGTATCTTTGATAAGTTTGAGACAATATTTGTTTACATCACGAGTTTCTGATGGCTGTCAAATGGCTGTGATGTGAAGGAAACTTAGCTGTTTTTAAATAATCATTAACTAAATTTCAGACATACAATGTAGTTAAATATTATAAAACTTCAATGATCTAAATTGCAACAGTATTTAAGTATTTCTATAACAGTGTTTTCCCTAGGCTATTCAAGCATTGCGGTACCGCTACCCAAAAATTTCGACCGCCATGCTGTCATCATTGCCGCAATGCATCCCACTATGTGTGAAAATTATAACTGTGTAAAATATTTATTATCTATATTTTGAAAGTGAAGTGACAAGTAACAACACTCCACAGGTGTTTTAAACTCATCCGACTGATAATTGGATGCATCACGTCGCGCGTGCCAGGATTTTACAACCTTCTTGATTAGTTGGTTATACATTTGTACATTGAGACTTCGGTTACATAATAGAAGTTGCCAGTTAGCTGATAAATAGTCAGATTAATCTCCAATGCATATCTTTCTGTGCTATATAAAAAGTTTAACCTTTTCCAGTATAAATTTCACCAAAAAACAGACCAGTGTTTGACATCGTTATTTTACTGCGATCTTTAAAAAGTAAATTTAAAAATTTGGTATACTTTTTTTCAAATAAAGTTTCGCAGTTTTTTCATCAGCTATATCCATGTATATTTACATTGATGCATTATTTTTTGATTGGTCACAACAATCAGTTATTTTTAGATTAGTCGCGGTTGATTGATTATATCAAAGAATACACATCACTGCAACTGGCCCGAGAAAAAGACGCGTCTCATGAAATATTTAAAACATTTGATGGAAAAACTTTCAAAACATACGTAGTTATTTACGGAAATATTGTTTTTAATAAACTAGTGTTGTTCTATCTTTAATTCAATGGGTCACATAGCGGATTCATTTGCCGTTTTTTACACAAGTGGGGCTAAATTTCTTGCACTTCGGCAAGATAGGATTTTGACAACATTTTTTTGTGTTGAATAAATCTAAATAATGTTTTGGTTAGTGTATTGCTATAAAAAAAAAAATCATTTTTTCTAAATAAAGTGAGATTCTGACAACGTTTGTTTTTTGTGTTGAGTAAATCTTAATCATCTTTTGGTTAGTGTATTGCTATAAATTTATGTTTTCATAGTTATAAAATAGTGTGTGATTTTACGGGGTTTTTTTTGTGCTGAATAAATCTTAAATTATGTTTTGGTAGTGTTGTGATATAAATTTTTTTTTCATTGTTTCAAAATAAAGTGAGATCAAAGGGGCCAAGCTGTTAAAATCAATTATCTTTCGTGTTTTTCTTTTAAAATCTTCAATGTTTTACTCATACCAAGCTAAATACATGCAGTATTTACATCAAAGTACATGTAAGTAATAAAACAACAATCACCATGATCATGATTTTCAAACACACAACCATTATACCAAATTTAGCTGTGTATAAATACCAATTAGCAGTAATCATACATTTGTACAAAATTAACATTTCATAATTAATCATCAAATAGATGAAAAAAAAAAAAAAAACATTCATGTAATAATTCCCCAATCTTTATTCAGGAAAATATAATTTTTTTGGTATAAACATATAAAAAAATATCTAATAATTCAACTTGAATTTGAATAAAAATTGGGTGCGAACGTGTAGGGTGCAAACGGACCTAGGGGGCGAACGTGTAGGGTGCAAACGGACCTAGGGGGCGAACGTGTAGGGTGCAAAAGTGTATTGGGCGCGAACGGACCTGACACTGCAAACTTCTAGACTATAGAAAAGGCTTTTTTATTTGCTTGTCACTTTCAGAAGTTTGCACACCCCCACAGTTTCAGTCTTCTTCAACTCCACTGATTGACTGTAGTTTTTCAATGTCCCTTAGTATGCACCTGAAGGAAACATGCTAAATGATAAAAGGGTTGATTCATTTCGGTTTATAATACCACTATTTTTGTCAGTCACTTAGTCCCCTTTCTTGTGATACAGTAACCATGAAGACTGTGAAATTGGACTGAGACATCATGCTTACTTGAAAAGATATCCAATTCTGAAAATTATGCAACAGGATTTGTGTGTTTGATGTGGTTTGGTCATAAAATGTGAATTTTTTTTTGTGACAGCATCATTTTTAGTAGGTGTGTTTTTCCTCTTCAGAAATCATAGAGCTGATGAAGTAAAATTCTAGATGATCCTCACCTTTGATTACTCATTTTGAAGAATAAATGGTCTACTATCCGTCTGGATTCATGGAAAAGAGTTTAAAGTTAATACAATGAAAGTTCTGATGTTTTCGTCTTGTCCGGAAGTAAATCAGGAAAGTCGTTCACGATCAATTTGAAGCTTCGTCTCTGCCCACAATGGTGAATCTTTCAAACGTTTAAATGATTTTTATAAGTTTCAGACAATTTTCCAACCTTGTCCGATTATTTATATATTTCCTCAATAAATAGTTTATTTTTATTTTAATTTAACTATCAAAACAATTCAACGAAGCACACATCGTTAAACGAAATTGTTGGGTCACATGACTGTCATGTGATCTAACCAAAAAAATTGAAGAATGGCATCCTCAGTGAAATTAGCTCCACTTCCTCAAATAGAAAAGCTTTCAGAACGTGTAATCAGGGTATTAGGATGTAATGCAAGACCAATGACATTACAAGGCACAAATTCTTACTTGATTGGTAAAGGTGACAGGTGAAATTTCATTAAAATATTGCACTGATCAAAATATTACCTATACTATAGATAGGACAGGTCAGGAATAACCATTATTTTGTGGATTCTACTTCAATTGACATATAATGACGCTAAGGCTATACTGAGATACACCAATTGAGGTATAATGCAGATTTTATCCCAAAAAAATGTAAAGATGTTGGAGCATCTTTTTCGGTTTTTGCATTTTACCATAACACGCTTTGATGACCACTTAGTGATGACATGTAATTGATTCTGTCACTTTGTGCTGCATTTTGTTAGAGAAACCAAAAAACTAATAAGAACCTCCTTTTCCTACTTATGAAATAGTTTTCATCTATTAAATCTTATTTTTTGTTCTTTAGTCTCTTCCAGTCCATTTCGACTAACAAATCTTTAAATTGTGACTGATACAGACTTAATGAATCTAGTTGTCAATATCCATCAATTAGTGGATTATACCTCAATTGAGATATAATCAACATTTTCATAAAATACAGCACAGGAATTCAGAAGCAATTACATGTCACCAATGAGAACTCATCATGGCTTAAGATGGTATATGCAAAAAGATGCTCGAATATGTCTTTAAAAATTTCTGTGATAAAAACTGTATTATACCTCATTTGGTCTATCCCACTATATGTCAAATGGTGGATTATACCTGAATTGAGGTATAACATGTATAATCCACCAATTAATGGTTATTCCTGACCGTTTCTACATCTGAGTATAAGTTTGAATAACATGTTGAAGCTGAGTCTGGGACTAACACATGAATTTATATTTACCCCAGGCTGAGCAAACTAAGAAATTTTTCAAGTGATTAACTAAAATTTGATTTTAATATAATTTTTATAGATTATTTTTTTTTTTATAGTATGTCTTAGTGCTTCATATATTGCTTTTAGTGTTAGCAAGATACATATATGCTAGAGTTAATGTGGTGCTATTTTATTACTATTTATTTGCATGCTGCATGCCTTGTTTTATTTGTTATTGTATATGTTTTTATATTCGATGAAAAGCTCATTAGAGCTTACGTTAAATTTGTTTGTCAATATGCCAAATCAAAATAAAGTTTTGCTAACTTACCTACTTAACTCACATAACTCATCATACATGTAGCTTCATCAAATTCTTGACAATGTGTAGATAATTGTAGAAAAAAAATCATGTTTATCAACTTTCTAAGATATGACATTTTGATAATCAAAAATCTGATTAAAATACAGATTGTTGACACTTGGCTTACAATGATCTGACAACACTCCATCCTACTTTCTGTTTTGATAAATTTTATATCAACCAATGAATTTTATGCCAACAATGTTTTAAGGTTACGACAGAACCAGAGGATCCTGAAAGGTTGTTAAAACAGATCATTCTAAGCAAAGCATGGACTCAGGATCTGTATACCATTGTATACCTGTATTTATCTGATTGTGTTATCAAATGGTACCAAACAGGATTAAATACTTTAAGGCAGCAATGTTAAATCGTGTAAGAAACAATAGAGAAAAAAAGATCAAATTTTAGTTAACATTATGTTTGAAATTTGTTGTTCTAATGTTTAAGTTGTAGAGAAATTAGAACTGAACAAAAAATATTCCTGTCCACAAGAACCATTTTATAACAGTGATACTGTATTGTGTCCTTCTTTGCATATTGACATCATGGGTCCTTCATTAGTGTCTATTTATGTTTATTAGATTGATTGATTGTTGATTGCTTAACATCCAGTGGCAAATATTTCATGCATGTTCAGGACGAGAAAAAATTAACAATAAATACATTAGGTAGGTCTTGTAACAGAGGCCGTCTGTGATGAAATTTTGGGAAAATTCGACTGCCACTGGAAAAGGAGGATTATTGGATAGGGACAGAAATTTTGCCTTGCAACAAGCCACCTACAGACTCCTCAAAGAGTTGTTGTACGGGTTCTTAATGTGCAGAGAGCATGGCACTCTCTCTACATGCTCTACACCAGGCATCAGATTTATCGTCCCCATTCTGACCGGACGTGGCTGAGTACTTGATACATCCCGCACAGCCAAACGGACACCCCACTTTGGCGTGAGTGTTACTGGCGGTTGGATGAAGACCAAAGTTACCATATTTCTATTCTTCAGTCACGCTTGTTAATCAAAATATTTACATACAATTTACTTTCCTTCTGGTGATTTAAACCGTGTTTATTGTTGAATACCTTATGTTGGTCTTTATATTATATCTTTTGTGGTATATTTGTGTTGTCTCATTTACATATATCCCTCACATACATTTGATGTCATATAATTTAAGGAGAATACTTTTGGATACCACAGATCCAGGCACACCTGATTATATCAAGAATTTACAGAATGCCTTATCACAACACAAATGTGGCATACAGGAAATAATTATCTCTCACTGGCATGCTGACCATTGTGGAAGTGTTCCTGATGTATGTAACCAAGTCACAAAATGTAATTATGATATTTATTAAGTAAATAAAAAAAGGAAATACATGTATTGTGGGTAAGTGTTCAAAACAAAATTAAACAATTTGAAGTAAATTATTTTGGAGGAAGAGTTTTATCCCTTAGACATTCAGATTTTTTTTACTTATATACATCATTTTGTGTACATGTAAGCATGATAAGTAAGACAGTCTTATTTTCTTTTTTTCTTGAATTTCTCTTGACTACATTGCTCTGATAGAGTGTTTTAATGTCTGTCATTAATATCTCCTTTGTCTGTTATCTGCTTATTTACAAGCCTCTATTGAGCAATTGTTGAAGGCCTTGCACAGTTACCACCTGTGTGCAATATATTTCTTCGCTTAGTTTTTGACAATAAAGGTTAAATTGGAGGGGTTGAAAAAAAATTAAGTAAATTTTTGGTGAAAATTAAGGGGAGATTATTCAATTCTTGAAAATAAAATAAAAATCTTACAAATTTACTAATGCAAGTAAATATTACATCTTCAAGTAAATAAAAATAACTTTTATAGGTATGTTGGAGAAGATGTTACTAAGGTGAAAAACTTGTTTCTAATTGGTATGTCCTTTTTGAACAGTAAAATATGTTTAAACTAAACTAGGTATTACCCCTGATTGACTGTGCAATAGTCTGTGGATGTCAGATGTTTATCCAGGCAGTCCTTTTCAATATTACATGACCAAAAGCAATGCTTAATTTTTAAACCCCTTCAAAAATATACCTCAAAATGACTTATTTTGTAGATGTGCTACTTTCTTATAAATGTATATATACCCAAATCTCCTTTTATCAAAGTTTATTTGACCCTAACCAGGTAAAATAAAAAAGCTTGAAAATAAATATTTGCAATTTCTCCGGTAAGCATGCAGCATTTAAGAGTAAAAAGAAAGATTAGTAGTCTTGGAGTCTACAATAATGTATCAAAAGATGCCTTCCTGTAAACTGTTACTTTGCATTACCTCACCATGATCTTGTCCTGAAATGCATGTGATATTTGCCGCAGGATGTTTAACACCACTCCATTCATCCATCTCATATTGGAACTTCTTTCTGAGTACTATTTGTCTGTTGTTTTAATTCACAGCTCAAGAGACCATTGTATCAAAATTCAAAAGAATATCTCAACAGGACCTAGACATCTCTCCAGCAAAGTACACATTTGTGGAAAACAACACAGTTTTTAAAACAGAGGGTGCTACTTTGAGGTATGTAGGCGCATTGTTGTGGTATGTTGGTGTTGTTGTGGTATGTTGGCTCATTGTTCAGGTATGTTGGTCCATTGTTGTGGTATGTTGGTCCATTGTTGTGTTATGTTGGTCCATAGTTGTGTTATGTTGGTCCATTGTTGGGGAATGTTGGTCCATTGTTGAGAAATGTTGGTCCATCGTTGAGAAATGTTGGTCCATCGTTGAGGTATGTTGGTCCATTGTTGATGAATGTTGGTCCACTGTTTAGGTCTGTTGATCCATTGTTGAGGAATGTTGGTCAATTGCAATACAAGGTGAAGGAGATGTGGGTTTAATGTTGCTGCAGCCAAATGTCACAAGTAAACCAACAAAGACATCTCGATTTTAACATGCTGTCTTCAACAATATTGAATCACGCTAGTTGCAAGTGTGTTAGACTCCATCCTAAATTGACTATGATTGCCTACCTGCTGAAGGTTGGTGGTTCTCCATGGGCACTACCGCTTCCTCCACAAATAAAAACTGGCTCCATGATATAGCCAAGAGTGCTGAAAATGGCATATAACACCAAAAAATCAACCAACAACATTGAATAGACAAGTGTCTGTACTATACATACATGTAGAGATCTAAATCCCCTGAGTAAATAAAAAATGGAACTCAATTTGGTAGTGACTACTATTATCTGCCAACAAAACGTAATTTCTTAAAGGTTAATGGACCTTAAATGGGCCAAGTCCAAGATATTGAACAATGTTGCTTATGGAATGGCCATTTTGACCTTTAACTTAAAATGGAAAAAATAATGCAGTTTTTGTGGAATTAAAAAAAATGTACAGGACTCTTAGAATTTATTAATAATGCATCGGATTTATGTGTTTTTTTAATGTCCATTCAACAGATTTTGTATGGTATCCTCTATTTGTTATCAACTTTCAATTAAATGGCAATACAGTCAAACCTGCTATAAAGGTAACCTCTGTTAAGCGAAAAACCTGTCTTGTCAAGCCGACCTCTTGTCAAGCCACCCTCTTGTCTCCCTGCAGTAATACCTATGCTTTCTGAACTTTATTTTAAAGGTCGCTTTTCTTTTTAGGTAAATTTTCTCAGGTAGACCTTTATAGATAACTTTACTGTATAACGTCTTATTTATGTCGATGGGATGCTTCAAAGTACATCAACTGACATTGTAATTTTGATTGTGACATTAGGCATGCATTCCTTATATTTTTATGTATTGAGCACAAGGCTTTTTTTTTCAAAACGAAAGAAGATTGTTATATTAGAATGATTTATTTAAAACTATATTTTTTTTTATAAATTTCAGAGCTATACATACACCAGGACACACAGAAGAACACATGGCACTATACCTCGAGGAAGAGAATGCTGTGTTTTCTGGTGATACAGTACTAGGGGAGACAACTGCAGTATGTATAATAACAGAAGAATTGGATCTTGTTAATTTGATTTTTCACTGTAGAAAAATTATCGATACATTGGTTTTATTTGCTGGCGGTAAAACTCAATATTTTTAAAATCAGATGAAAAGATGTTTTCATTTAATTATCTCTTATAAGGTTTCCCTAGAAAAAATTGTCTTTTTGTGAGTAATATCCCTCCAATAAATGCAATTGCCTCTACTAGTTATTTATTAAGCAGGTATCACCTGCAAAAACATAAAGTCTATTTCATTTTTGCCTGCTGCAATTATATGCCATTATAGACAAATAGTTTGTTGTAATTTATCTATAGAAGAAAATTAAAAGAAATATCAATATATTGATGTGAAATTGATTGCATTTCTTTGTTAGCCTCATGGAAATGAAATCAAATTGAAAAAGTAAAACAATTTTATGTTTCATTGCTGCTATCATATACTGTGGATTCATTAGTATTCGTTGGATACAAATTTTCGTAGATTTCGTGGTTACAGGTGAACCACGAAATTAAATGTTCAACGAATGACAAATTTTCTATAGACTTGTATGTAGACTTCATCAAAACCACGAAATTAATTATCCACGAACATGTAAGTTTTCCCTTATCCACGAAAATTGGTACCCACGAAAATAAATGAATCCACAGTATTATATAAAGATGCTGATAAGATAATGTAAGGGGTATACATAATTAGAAATTAAAGTAGATGTGGGTACCAGGTAAACATTTAAAATGCCAATTTAGCAATTGTATTTGATAAGGAACAAGAGGAATAACTAATGTATCTTAAAACTTTGTGGACATCAATGTTAGATTTTATGGTCGAAAATACATGGAACTGAATTTGCTAAAGTGAAACACCCTAAGCCGGGAATGTCACATTTTATACCTTGTCTGACATGTCTGAGATCTGAATAAAAATAATATTTTCCAACTTTTGGATCTTAGTTATTGCCTAATCAGACAAGAAACTAAATTAAATAAATATATATTTATAGGTATTTGAAGATCTACAGACATACATGGGATCTCTCCAGAAAATACTTGATCTGAATCCAGCAGTTATCTACCCTTCTCACGGTTCTGTGATAAACGATCCCACAGACAAATTAAAAGAATACATAGCTCACAGAATGAACAGAGAACAACAGATTTTACATTGTCTGAAAGAACTAAATCAACCAATGACGGCTGAGGAGTTAGTAGAGAAAATATATGAGGTCAGTTTGATTTTTACTATAGTTTGTAAATGTCAGACTTGCCAACCTTGTGAATTTTGGTAAAAATAACCTTATTTTAACTATAAAATAATCTGTTGACTGTTTACCTACTAAAAATGATGCTGTCACTTTTCATTTCCATTTAATATTAAATAAATTAATTCAGTCCCTCCCCATGATTGACTCTCCGACTCGCGATGGCCTGAACTCTTTTAATACAATAAAAACTTGTCACAAATCTAGGATTTTGATTGTGTTCTCTGGGAGAGAGTGCCAATTGGCTGAAAGCTTAATGTTATCGAGATAGGTAAAACCTGAGCTTATTCTGAATGATTATTTGACGATTTTTCATTGACTTGGCCTATAGGCATAGTAGAGCAGCAGAATCTAACGACTGAATTATTCAGGTTACTCTCGGTATAAGGTTTCTAGTAAAAATAACAGTGTGCTCTTCATTGTATTCCATTTGTTTGATGTTTTGATTTTGCAATTTAATATGGGACTTTCCGTTTTGAATTTTCTATGGAGTTCAGTATTTTTGTTATTTACTTTTTTCGTGATATATTTCCTTTATTTTATAATAGGATTTGAATCCAATGTTAAAGATGGCAGCAGCAAATAATGTTATTCATCATCTGGAAAAGCTGGTTAAAGATGGCTTTGCAGGTACTGTTAATTAAGTAATCAAATTAAGTACATGTACATGTGGACCATGAAAAGTAAAGTCAAATCAATGCATTATGGGTTTTGCTCATTGTTGAAAGCCATACTGTGACCTATAGTCTGCTTACATCCCTGTCATTTGGTCTCTGGTGGATAGTTATCCCAATGACAAACATACCACATCTCCATATTTAATATTGATATAACTATTAACATTATTTTAGGTCTCAAATCATCCCAAGTTGAAAGTTAAGTCATGTTTCCTCATTTCAATTTTGTACCTACTACAGCATAGTTATCCTGGCAGGTTTAATGAAGAAAAAAAAACACAAGTTTTTAGCGGTATTCCCATCCTGTATTGATAATATTGAGAAGAAAAAATATTTAATAATAAATTGTGGTAAAAAATTTATACCTTAAACTTATGTTTACAAAGAATATAAATTGAGTAAGTATTTATGAAAGAAACAGGTCTTGGGAGATGTGTGCATTCAACTTCCTCTTTAGTTATTTCTAATTTGCTATTGGAGTTAATTTTTTAAGATACGTTGCACTTGCTCATTTCATGTTTTTATGTAGCATATATAAGGAATCTTTCAGTATAATAAAGAGATCAAAAGAAAAGCACATTTTTATCTAATTCCAATCAATTTGTAATAGGCATGATATAATTACAGACAAAATTGAAGAAGAGGACACCAGGTGGCTTCTGAAGAAAACTGGGAACCTGTAAAATTGATCTGGTACTCTAAAGAAAGCAGGGAACCTGTAAAATTGATCTGGTGCATCCTGATAGATGTTTTGGTGCCATTATATGGACTTTTAAGTGTATTGAAAATTACACGGTAACACCCACAGTTTTAGTTTGTTGAACTTGAACCAATGTATTGTGAACTATGACCTTTTGAGTGATTAATTGGATTTAGGTTGTATCCTGTTTCTCTGTAGAACAGATTTGAGGGACCTGTATTTTGATATTAAGATAACAGAGTTAGACTACTGTGGATTCATTTATTTTCTTGGGTACCAATTTTTCATGGATTGAGGAAAACTTGCATTTTCGGGAATATTTGATTTTGTGGTTTAACAAACATTAGCATACAGGCCTATACAAAATTTGTACTTCTTTGAAGATTTAAATTTTTGGTTCACATGTACCCACGAAATCCACAAAAAAGTATGTATCCCATGAATAATCATGAATCCACAGTACATGGTTTTATATTGTTTTATGTCATAATTGATTTGTTATGTTTTTAAGTGGCAAAATTTGTTATCAATTTCTGCTCTTTTGTAATTTAAAGATGCATTTGAAATCATTGGTTGAAACTTTGATTTTTATGTGTATCATTGGTTGAAACTTTGATTTTTATGTGTATCATTGGTTGAACTTTGATTTTTATGTGTATTATGGGTTTTAAGTTATATTCTTGGTTTATTATAATGAGGATATGCTCAATTATGACAGAAAATTATTACAAGATTAAAATCCCATTTTCTCCTTAATTTAGGATATAAATCCTGTTTAATTTTTGTGTAGAGCACAAATTGGTAACAACATCTAAAGTTGATTTATTGTTTAATTTGTTATCATATTTATATTCTGGTGTAATATTTGCAACTGGATTTTAAGCTAAGAATTTTAGAGAAGAAATCTTATAATGTTTACCAAATCTTAACACAAAATATTCAACTTTCATCCTGGTCTTTTAAGAGATCATGTGATCAAATGTTAGACAGAATTCCTACGTGTATTGAGATTAATATATAGTTGTAAATGGCAAACATTTAGTAATACATGTATAAATTGTCCTTTCATCAGTGAGTATACCAATCCACCTACCCTCATATTTTATTCTTCTACATTGTGAACAAGTTCACTTTTACCAATTCTCTCAAAATATTCACATCATCCTAGAATTGATTTCCTCTGTATGACATTTTGTGGCAGCTGTGAGACTTGTTTGTGCTGTTTCTAGCATTTGCTGCTTTGACAGGGTCAACAATTGTTTAAGGGGTCTTTACAGATGTTCGCTCCTCTGTTTCAAAATAACAAGCTTTTTAAACGACTGTTGTAAATTGATAGTAAATAAATAACGGATCTAAAAAAGCAGAAAAAAAAATTAAAGGTCTGTGTCCTTGCTTTTGAGACGTAATCAAATTAAAATTTGGCGGGAAATGATTCTCTAGATTTTTCATACATTTAGCATTGGCACTTTTTTCATTCAAAAACTATGAAAAAATAACAAGGATTTTATATGATTTTTAAAAATGGCTTTTTAAACTATTTGTAATAAAAATATGAAAAGAAAAGTAGGGGTTAGCGGGCAAAATTTTTATTGGCACTGCATGGTTAAAACTAAAGGATTCTGAATATCTGACAAAAAGACAAGACATAGTTTAAATGTTTAATGAGGAGAGAAGCAATTTATATAATATGTTTTTGTTTTATAAGAAATTTAACAGAGAGAAGAATTATATATATATAATCAAGAGCAAGATGTCTTTTGTTTTATAAGAAAAAAGAAAGAAAAAAAAACTAAATGAAAAAAAGGAAAGATATAAAAAATATTGACTTGAAGAATTGTCAACCTTTGGGTGTAAGTTTTGCAGGGTAAATGATAAACTCCTAATCAAACAATCAGACCTTAGGTTGACAATTCTGAATTTCTACAGAAATAATGGCATGTACTGTATTCTTCCTGTGTGAAAAGATAATGGGGCCATTGTTGTATAATTCCTGTGTGAAACGAAAATTAGGGTCATCAATGTACGATTTTTGTGTACTAGGGGGGTGTTTAATGACCTTGACTACCCATGAGTGTCTCACACGGTTGGCTTTTGTGTGAAAAGAAATCAATTAAACTAGATTTTAACAAAATACAGAAGTTTTAAGTTTACAATAGTTGTTTTTTTCAGTGTTAATAGTTTTAATGGCTACAAATTGCTTACTGTATATTCAGAAATTATTGCGTGCATTTATTATTGCAATTTTTGAAGTCTGAACTAAAATGTGAGATTTACTTTTGCGATTTCAGAATAGTTTCATCCAGATATATTTATCAGATATCAGAATGCGAGTTTTTATTATTGCAATACTCACCAGGTTGCATTTTTCGCATTAATCAAAACCTCACAATAGTTTCTGAATTTACAGTATTATGGAGACAAAAAATAACAATAAAAGTAATGATTTAAAAATGGTCTCATAACTTATTTTGTTAACAACAGTATTGAAATATAGTGTTTTAACCAAAGCATTAGATAGTATTTTGTTAACCATAGTATTTTAAAATTGTATTGTTTTATCTAACCAAGATGTATATTAAAGTACATAATATTCTTTTACTAACAACAATGTCATTATGCTGAACAGTGAATCGGTCTTTAGAGACCTCCGTCTTATGAACAACTGTTTCATAGTTTTCAATACCTATATAGGTAGACCTGTTTTTAGAGATCAGTTGTCATGATTTGCAGAAGAGGAGGACTCTCAGGAAAAAATAAACTGTACATTTGGCAGGGGTCTTCTTTGGTCTATAAATTTAAGCATGTCAAATTATTTTAAAAGATATTTTAAACACTAGGGAAAAAATTGCATCAGCACTGAGATAATCTCTTTTGAAATTCAGCCATATTAAGAATACTGTCAAGATAAAAGCCCTGTTCATTGATAATTTTCTATGTTTTCTGTGTATTGTGTGCGATTTTGTCCCATGTACATTTACTCCAAATCCTTTCATTTTCTATAAGGTGGAATTATTTTCCAAAAGGTTTATTTTTGCTAATTTGAAAACATCCCTTCCCTTAACTTTATAATCTTTAAGGAAGAACAATATCAAGGATAAGAAAAACGTAATAATAAAACCCTCCTATTTTTGGGATTCATTTCTAAGGAAACAATAATAAATCATCCCAATGTTCCCAATAGGGTTTTCATCAATATAGATGGTTATTAAAAAGGGTCTGGATGGGGTTCACAGACTAAAGAATAATGAGCAAATATGACAGAAAAATGGGGAAAAAATAAAGAATAGAGAAAAATAGGCCAAAAAATACAGTTTAGAAAAAATAATGTGAACTTAAATATAAAGAATGGAGAAAAACACAAAATTTATAAAGAATAGAGAAAATGTCCTAAAAATAGAAACAAAAGAAAAAGACAAACCCCCCAAATCCAGACCCTCATTAAAGTAAAGTAACTTTTTGGTACTGGCTTCTGCTCATTGTTTCCAAATTGATAAAACAATTTAGGGCTGATCAAAAACTTGTATTCAAGATTATGTTTTATTCAGATTTGTTATAAAAAGTTTGAAAATATAACTTCAAAATGAAATTTCATTTTTCACTGACTATAGGGCCAACTAGATATGAATACTCCCCTTGTTATATTATTAAGTATTATATTAATCAAGATTGTAGTCATAAGGTCTTTTAGTGGTTTGATGTTTTATAATGTCCCAGTAATCAAAATATGATGAAAATCAGTTTGTTACATTTTGTTAAATGATATGAAAATGAGAATAAAAACATGTTTAAAACATTTGTAAAATATTGTTATATATAGATATATAGTTCGGTTTGATACAGTGTTTTAAACTCACCTGGCCATGTTTGCTTTTGCCATCACTTGGCGTCTGTTAACCCTGTCTGTCGTCATTTTAATCTATTTTTAAATTTTCTTCTCTGAAACTACTGGGCCAAATGTTACCAAACTCTACCTGAATGACCCTTAGGGCATCTTGTCATCTTTTAAAAAACTGTATCCTTGGACTTGACCCATCAACAAACTTGGCTGCTGTTGTTAAAAATAGAAGATAGGGGTATAATGCAGTTTTGGCTAATCTCTAAAACACTAAGAGCAAACGGATGGGGTAAAATTTTCCACAGGTCAAGGTCTTTCCCCTAAGGAATTTGTAGATTTATGGTTGTATCCTGCTGCTCCAATGCCCCCTTGTATTGATTAATTGACTGTTATTTCTGGACGTCCAGTGGCAAATATTTCATTCATATTTGGGAAGAGAAAAGCTGTTGCAGGGCCTCAATAATGTGCATTTTTCCTCTACATGGCATCATATTTAATGTCCCCATTCTGACCAGACATTACTGCATATTTATACAACTGCACAGCCAAACAGAAACCTCTCTTTGACATAGATTTTACTGCCGGTTAACACATAATATTAATATTGGGTAACCTTTCTAAATGAAATTACAAAGGTTTAATGAAATTTTGCTACTAGTATACTGGTTTCATGTTGCTTCCAGGGGCGGATCTAGCCATTTTTAAAAGGGGAGGGGTTCCAACCCAGGAGAAAGGGGGGTTCCAAATATATGTCCCCATTCAAATGCATTGATCGTCAAAAAAGGGGGGTTCCAACCCCCGGAACCCCCCTGGATCCGCCACTGGGTTCTTCAAGAACTACGTCGTATGTGCAACTAATTGTTGACAACTAAAACACTATACTACACTGAAAAATAGATTTCAGGTGAAGTATTTTTAATAAACTTTTGATTCAAGTGACATATTTTAAATGATGAATAGTTTACAAATTTGATAATGCGAGAGACGATTCCAATCCTCTATTGTATGATTTCTTATCACCGGAGTCACGGGCCTCGGTGACCGAGTGGTCTAAGTAGTCGAACTACTGTTACACTATACTGCCAACGATGATGCTGTGAGTTCGAGCCCCGCACGTAACAGGTGCGTTCGACTCCAATCCTAATTGATCAGGATTGCCGCTTCCTCAACCAATAAAAACTGACCGACACGAAATAGCCAATAGTGCTGAAAGTGGCGTTAAACACACAAAAAGGAGTAACAGAAAGAATCGGCGCATTTGGGAGAACTAGTTGGTGTGTAACTATTGGAGCAGGAACTGTCGACCCTCCTGACCAAGAACTAGTTGGTGTGTAACTATTGGAGCAGGAACTGTCGACCCTCCTGAGCAAGAACTAGTCGGTGTGTACCTATTGGGACAGGAACTGTCGACCCTCCTGAGCAAGAATTAGTCAGTGTGTACCTATTGGAGCAGGAACTGTCAACTCCTTCTGAGCAAGAACTAGTCGGTGTGTACTTATTGGAGCAGGAACTGTCAACCCTCCTGAGCAAGAACTAGTCGGTGTGTAACCATTGGAGCAGGAACTGTCATCTCCTTCTGAGCAAGAACTAGTTGGTGTGTAACTATTGGAACAGGAACTGTCGACTCCTTCTGAGCAAGAACTAGTCGGTGTGCACCTATTGGAGCAGGAACTGTCGACCCTCCTGAGCAAGAACTAATCGGTGTGTAACTATTGGAGCAGGAACTGTCAACCCTCCTGAGCAAGAACTAGTCGGTGTGTAACCATTGGAGCAGGAACTGTCATCTCCTTCTGAGCAAGAACTAGTTGGTGTGTAACTATTGGAGCAGGAACTGTCGACTCCTTCTGAGCAAGAACTAGTCGGTGTGTACCTATTGGAGCAGGAACTGTCGACCCTCCTGAGCAAGAACTAGTCGGTGTGTACCTATTGGAACAGGAACTCAGTGTCAACCCTCCTGAGCAAGAACTACTCGGTGTGTAACTATTGGAACAGGAACTGTCAATCCTCCTGAGGAAGAACTAGTCGGTGTGTAACTATTGGAACAGGAACTGTCGACTCCTTCTGAGCAAGAACTAGTCGGTGTGCACCTATTGGAGCAGGAACTGTCGACTTTCCTGAGCAAGAACTAGTCGGTGTGTAACTTTTGGAGCAGGAACTGTCGACCCTCCTGAGCAAGAACTAGTCGGTGTGTACCTATTGGGACAGGAACTGTCGACCCTCCTGAGCAAAAATTAGTCGGTGTGTAACTATTGGAGCAGGAACTGTCGACCCTCCTGAGCAAGAACTAGTTGGTGTGTAACTATTGGAGCAGGAACTGTCGACCCTCCTGAGCAAGAACTAGTCGGTGTGTACCTATTGGGACAGGAACTGTCGACCCTCCTGAGCAAGAATTAGTCGGTGTGTAACTATTGGAGCAGGAACTGTCAACCCTCCTGAGCAAGAACTAGTCGGTGTGTAACTATTGGAGCAGGAACTGTCGACCCTCCTGAGCAAGAACTAGTCGGTGTGTACTTATTGGAGCAGGAACTGTCAACCCTCCTGAGCAAGAACTAGTCGGTGTGTACCTATTGGAGCAGGAACAGTCAACTCCTTCTGAGCAAGAACTAGTCGGTGTGTACTTATTGGAGCAGGAACTGTCAACCCTCCTGAGCAAGAACTAGTCGGTGTGTACCTATTGGAGCAGGAACAGTCAACTCCTTCTGAGCAAGAACTAGTCGGTGTGTACTTATTGGAGCAGGAACTGTCAACCCTCCTGAGCAAGAACTAGTCGGTGTGTAACTATTGGAGCAGGAACTGTCATCTCCTTCTGAGCAAGAACTAGTTGGTGTTTACCTATTGGAGCAGGAACTGTCGACTCCTGACCAAGAACTAGTCGGTGTGTACCTATTGGAGCAGGAACTGTCGACCCTCCTGAGCAATGACTAGTCGGTGTGTACCTATTGGAGTAGGAACTCAGTGTCAACCCTCCTGAGCAAGAACTACTCGGTGTGTAACTATTGGACCAGGAACTGTCAATCCTCCTGAGGAAGAACTAGTCGGTGTGTAACTATTGGAGCAGGAACTGTCAACCCTCCTGAGGAAGAACTAGTCGGTGTGTAACTATTGGAGCAGTAACTGTCAACCCTCCTGAGCAAAGAACTAGTCGGTGAGTACCTATTAGAGGAGGAACTGTCGACCCTCCTGAGCAAGAACTAGTCGGTGTGTACCTATTGGAGCAGGAACTGTCGACTCCTGAGCAAGAACTAGTCGGTGTGTACCTATTGGAACAGGAACTGTCAACTCCTTCTGAGCAAGAACTAGTCGGTGTGTAACTATTGGAGCAGGAACTGTCGACTCCTTCTGAGCAGGAACTAGTCGGTGTGCACCTATCTGGACAGGAACTGTCGACTCCTTAGCAAGAACTAGTCGGTGTGTACTTATTGGAGCAGGAACTGTCGACTCCTTCTGAGCAAGAACTAGTCGGTGTGTATCTATTGGAGCAGGAACTGTAGACCCTCCTGAGCACCAAAATTCATATCCCGTCTTTTTGGTAGGTTCATTTGCTCAATCTAGTTTTCTGTGAAATGTTTTTATATCTTTCCGTATATTTTTCTTCTGGTTATGGTATTGTCCGTCTTTTCTTTGACATATGGTTTAGAATCTGGCCTCTTGGTATCTTTTTAATTTTGTATCTCCTTTTCAGCTCACCTGCAAGCGAGCTTTACTAATCATTTGGCGTCCGTCGTCGTCGTCGTTAACTTGTACAAAAATCTTCTCTGAAACTACTGAGCCAAATTTAACCAAACCTGGCCACACTCATCATTGGGGTATCTTGTTTAAAAATTGTGTCCGATGACCCCCGCCTGACAACCAAGATGTCCGACATCGTTAAAAATAGAACATAGGGGTAAAATGCAATTTTGCGTATTATTTTGAAAACCGCTTTGAAAAGAAAAAAATCTGACAAGGCAAACATTTTCAGAATGTTAAGCTTTTCCTATTGTTCATTTATGTCAAAACTGCATGTCAGACGACTTCTTGTGTGCGTTATTGCCCTTAGATGATGAATTTTACCATTTTTTTAAATTTTTGCCTTTTATCTCGAAAATTATAATAGAGAGGTAGAAACTTTGAATAGCAAAAATGATCAACAAGACAAGAGCTACAAATAAGTCAACATGGCCGAAATCTTCAGTCGACTTCTTATTAGAGTGATTGCCTTAAAATGACGATTTTTACATATTTATATTTTTGCGTTTTTGCCTTATATCTTAAAAACTATATTAGATAGATAGGAAATTTAAATAGAAAAAATGATCAGCAAGACAAGATCTACAAATAAGTGACGAAATTGTTAGTCGAATCCTTATTGAAGTTATTGCCCTTTAATGACAATTTTCCCCAGTTTTGCATATTATCTTGTAAACTGTAATAGATAGATAAAAACTTTAAAAAGCACAAATGATCAGCAAGACAAGATCCACAAATAAGCCATAATGACAGAAATTTTCAGTCGACTCATTATTGGAGATAATGCACGATACCTGTTATCAAATACATAAACATTTTCTTACCTTTTGTACAACTGTCCGTCCATCCTTGTTTTAGTTCATAACAGTAGATATGCTACGTATGTGACGTCACTGTATTGTTTCGTTAAAATGACATTACAAAGACACAGACAAGTCGTCAAAACACTAAAAAAAAGAAGAGAAAAACAAACAGGACAACCCATTTGAAAGAAACATAAAAGCAAGTAGGTGCATTTATTTCATACACGAGTAAAACACAAAGAAGAATTCGAGAGGTGAAGAAAAGTATAAATATGGTTACATAATCAGCTATCGTCAACAACATGAACGCCCCTTTTACTCTCCCCCACCCCCAAACACACTACTCCGACGGTAGAACTACGATGAAAAGCGAGTTCAAACATAGAGGACTGATGAAATATAAATGTAAGTACATTCACACTATATAT